CGTTTAACATCCTGCTTTGCAGATGCTGCTGAGCTCTTTGGGCTGGAAGTCAGCTTAAAGAAGACAGAAGTTCTCTTTCAAACTGCACCTCAGGAAGTCTTCCATCATCCCCATATCACCACTGGCGAATCAGAGCACAAATCAGTCCAGCAGTTTAATTACCTAGGTAGCCTCATCTCCTTGGACGGTAAGATTGATGTAGAGATAGACAACAGGTTAGCAAAGGCATACGGAAAGCTTCATAAAAGAGTTTGGCAAAATAAACACCTGATGAAGAAAAGGACAAAGATCAGTGTTTACAGAGCCATAGTGCTGTCTACTCTCTTATATGGATCTGAATCATGGGTCATCTACTGCCACCACCTGCGTCTCCTAGAACACTTCCATCAACGCTGCCTCTGTCCAATCCTAAACATCCACTGGTCAGATTATGTAACCTATACATCTGTTCTTGAACAAGCAGCTGTCACAAGCATTGAGGCCATGTTGCTGAGAACAAAGCTGTGTTGGGCAGGACACATCTCAAAGATGAAGGACCACCGCCTCCCTAAGATCTTGCTTTATGGTGAACTTGCCACTGGAGGAAGAGAGGAGCCCCGAAGAGAAGATACAAGGACTCCTTGAAACAACATCTCAGCCTTGGCCATATTGATCAACATAACCGGTCTACTCTGGCCTCCAATCGGGAAGTCTGGAGACACACCATCTATAACGCTGCTGATGCCTTTGAGAACACACGCAGGATCACTCTTGAGGAGAAAAGACAACACAGAAAGAACAGTGCCTTGCAGAATACACCACCTAAGGAGTCTTTCTGCTGTGCCTTTTGCAATTGGTTATGTCTATCTTGTATTGGCCTCATTAGCCACCAGTGTACCTGTAATAAATGTGGATAGAGCCTTCCTAAATCTTCGTTCGCAAAGCCTAGCCATGAAAAATGAAAAGCTTCTGTTATGCCTGAATGCTCAGCTCTATCTTGTGATAATTCTGATTACTCAGAGGTGTTAGTGTGACCACAGGGCCTCCTAAACATCCTGTATGAGGAAGAGATGGAGATTTTAGCTTAATCTGTTTTGCGAAGGGCAAGAATCATATCTGTTTCAATTTAGGTCCACTTGCAATTATTCGATGACTGAAATCAGAAGTACTTTTAAAATTAGGTATTATTGAAAATAAATGCATTGCATCCAACTCTGGAAGATAAATTGACAAGCTTCAGAGTTTGTGAATTATTTCTGGTTTTGATGCACTGGAATTTCAGAGGGAGAAGTTATGTAAATATCAGTAAAAAATAATTTGCAAACTTAAACGTATGCTTCTTTTGTGGCCTAGTGTTGTGGTTTAACTGCAACCAGGTTTATGTAATACATGTGATTGATACTCTGGTTTTTTACAGATTTTCAGATTTCAGGAATGCTTTTTTGAAGGTGTGGATTTTTATCACTGTTTTTGTGTTGCTCAATTTGTCAGCACTTGCTTATAATTCCAGTAGCTTATATATTATTCTTTTGTGCTGTGTTCTGTGATGTATGAACTGCACAGTTTGGTCTCTTTGAACTGGTTCTTCTCACCCCTTTTTAAAATCTGACTTCCATTCCCATTCAGCTGTGCTTTCTCAAGCATACTTGGAATTTCTCGTAGGATTTCTCTCGGAATTTTTACCATCTTTCCTAAAGATGGTGACCTTTATGTGGCCAAGATTTTTACCTGTCTTTTTTCTTAAATCTTTCATCTAGTATCCTCTTAATCCTTTAGCCATTCTTATCCGTATTTGACAGAACTATAGCAGTATCAAAACTGAGTTCATAGAAATTGTTGGTCAGGATAGAGGACAAGGATGAATGCAAATTAGTTTCCCCACTTTAAAAAAGATGAGGAAAGCTCAATCATTATATATTCAATATATATTCAGATCTAAATCTTATATATATTTTGCCATGGCCAGCCAGAAAAGTATTTGCTTTGGATTAATGTTAGCATATACTTTCCTTTATCCAGTGATGGTAGATGGGAGAACATGAGGAATTTGAGTTTGATGCACTGCATGCACTTGGGGATCAAATGATGCACATCAGCAGGAATACAGCTTTAGTTAGTCAGCATTACATTAACATTGGATATTTACAGATATTTAGTTACATGATCTGTCTGCCTGAGAAAACTTACAAAGAGCAAGTTATACTACAGAATCACAGAATCACAGAATAAGTAAGATTGGAAAGGAACACAGTGGGTCATCTGGTCCAACGTCCCTGCTCAAGCAGGTTATCCTAGAGCACATTGCACAGAATTGTGTCCAGACAGTTCTTGAATATCTCCAGGAAGGGAGACTCCACAAACTCTCTGGGCAATCTGTTCAGTTATTTCCATCATGGCATCTATGCCTGTCATAGGTGTGAATAACTTCATTTAACTTCTATGAGCATATTTAAATATAAACATAGTTTTTGAACTTTCCTGCCAGTTTATGTGAAGTCTAAAATAGTTCATATGCAAGAGCCCAATGATTCCTACAGAATCTGCTTCCATAGGAAGTGGGGATTAGTGCTTCTCTGTCAGAGTTTACCAGGAATTTTTTCTTTTGGGGTCTAGGTTGGAGTAAGGTGTTTGGTTTGGGGGTTTTTTTAAATCCCTTGAGGCTAAAGCTAGAGAATCAAACTTCCTATCTTCACATATCCACCATGTATGTAAACATCCCATATATATGCAAATATATATGACCCCCCGTGGGGGTCATTTTGTGGTAGGGGTTATTCCATTTTTTTAGAACCTGTTGTAAATCAGGTTTTAAAAGCCCACCAGATTTGATCTATGATGCAATAAATTTCTCCTTTTATATACTATCTGTATTCTTATTTTTGACTGTCAGTAATTATCTTTTTAATATTGTACATAAATACACTACTAAAATTATACTTTTGTGCATTTCCAGAAAAAAAAAACTAAAATAAAAAAAAACAAAATAAAAAAAAAATTAATCACTTGAAAATAGGCTTTACTTGTATAGGAGCATCAAAAACTAATTATGAAACATCTAACATTACAACAATGAGTACACTGACTTAGATGTATAAAATCAAAGGTTCCTCATGTTTACCCTTTGCTGTTCTAGAAAACTGAGTTGTATATGCCTGTTCCAGAGCAGAAGAGGGTCTCATAGTCATGATAGCTCAGGAACATTGTGACGAAGTTCAAACTATGAAAACCTGCATAGTTTGGGAGTGTATAGATTATAGGTTTATAGCTAAGGAAAACCAGTCAATGAAAAAAAGTTTAAATATCATGTGTGCAGTACAATATGTGTTTCAGTTAGGATACTGATGTGTTTTAGGAAAGTGATGGTTTTTTATGTTTCTTTAAGATTCAAATGTTGGAATATTGTGTAGTGAGGTATAGGTTTGTTGTCATACATCTGTCTTCTCTTAAAAATTTTGATTTCTTTGGGGGTTTGTAAATTAAGTGTTGCCTTGTGTTATTGCTAACTAAGAGTACTTTATTAATTTCAGAGTTACAAGGAACAGTGTTTTTCAATAGTGATGATATTATCAACTTCAGATTTATTGATAATGCAGTTTTTTTACTTATCAAAATCATTGTTGGAGTAAAAAAGTTTCCACACAAACTTCACATCTGTTGTAAGATGTTTGTACTCACGCATGCACACACCCTTAGAGAGATATCATCACTTGTTGTTGGTGAGGGACAATATCTGTTGATATTGCTAATCCTAGGAGTTCAGACGCTAATCTGGGATTGAAGAAAACTGTCCAGATTTACTGACTGTGCAACTATGAGGTGGGAAAATCTCAATTACAGACTTTTCCAAAAAGCTTCAGCATTTTGATGCAAGAAGTTTTAAGAATGAAGACTATGTTCTTGTGTGTTTAGTGATAGTTCTTTGGTTTTCTAATGTTGTTTTTTTTTTTCCTGTTTCAGAATATTCAGGGCTTCTAGCAAACCATGATTTAAAGAAACAAACAAAAAACTCTTAGTTTCTTTTACACAAGTGCCTATATTTGAGTGCGTTTTTGCACATGCATATCTATGTGTAGAAATGTATTTTGATTTTTATTTCCTAGTAAATGCTATTATAGTTAGATGTACTGAACATTTAATCAAAACTAAGCGATACCTGACTGCTGAGTAACTCTCACTCAGCTCAGAAGGATTCCTGTCCACTTCTGACCACTGAAAGTAGGTAAAGATCTGTTTTGTTAAACACTTGGTATACATAAATACCTTGATTATGAAGTCCTTGAACTGCAATTTCAAATTAAAAGCAGGGGGTTGCATACACAGAAAACCAAAACCACAAACCATATGATGGATCTTGCATTTTAACTTAAATCTCTTTGCTATTCAGAAACACAGATAACTGAGAGGAAAGCCCACTGTGTCCTTGCTTCCTATCAAAAATGTTTTAACATTTAAAGTTCTTCCACTCTCTTATCACTTTGCATCTGAGCACTTTGTATCGCACTCAAGGTATGACGTTATTACAAGAACAGAAGCTTCTTGGTGAACTATCTTTGCTGAGAGAGCCTTTGCTGGATGGACAACCAAAAGCAGAAAGGAGTAGCTTTAAAGAAGAATGATTGTCACAAATGCTTTTGGCACGTCCCATGTGAGGCTGATAGTTTGCAGTCCTTCACTGCACTTTGAGCTTGTTACTCTTCAGTCTGAGTCTTCAGCCTACAGAGAGACTCTGTGTATATTTTCAGCAGGACTTATTGCTACCTGATGTTCTGCATTTACTACATAAACAAGCTTTTTACTGTCTTTTAAAAGACAAAATGTTGATGGAGTAAGACAAGTTTTCTATTATGAGCTTTACTGAGGACTTAATCCCTTCTACCTATGGCCCAAAAAACTCCCCCCCCCCCGGAAGAGGCAAGGCTGCTTTCCCGGGCTTGGTAGGGAGATGCCGGGTTCGCTGGGCACTTCCCGCTCAGATTAGCATAGCCCAGCCTATATTGCACACACTCCCAGTAATACCTCGTTTTGCCACTGGAATGAGGCCAAAAGCACAAGCATTACAGGGATATAAAGCAGGAGGTTACTGGAAAGAATCTCAAACTAACGTGAGATGAGACCAAATTTTTGCAAATAGCAGAAAATGTGATCTTTGCTGTAAACAGCTCTTGCATTTCATGTAGCTGTTTATATTATTGAAGCTTTTAATAAGTGTTTTCATTGAGTATAGTTACAGAACAGCTGCAGAAATCTTAAGTGCTTCTGTTCATTTTTTTTTCTCTGCAGTTTTGGAACTGAAAAATCTCAGAAGAAAACTGGAGACTGACACAGATCAGGGTCACTCCTCAACTGTGCACCCTTCTGAGGCACTGCTTTTGTGAGGTGGGAATGATGACAGGGGCAAAAAGGAAAAGAAGCACAGTCTGGAGGAAAATCCAGGCTGTTCGCTTTGAAGATATCAAAGCCTGGTGTATGAGAAGGCTGCCCATCTTGAAATGGGTGCCCGTCTACAACTGGAAAGAAAGTTTGGTTCCTGATACAGTTTCTGGGATGATGCTAGCCATTCAACAGGTGACTCAAGGTACAGCTAACTCATTTCAGATTAATATTTAATATTATTTGACTGAATTAGTCTGGTCTTCCTTTTCTTTTTTATTTTGTCTTTCTTGTTTTATATTATTATAAAGCTTTGGTTTAAACAATGTCATGCTTATAATATAAGGAAAAATGTATAGTCTTAACTCTTAATGTGTATATAATGGATATGCAAATGTGGACAGAAATGCATTGTGTTATTGTAGTTGATTTCTGAGGAACTTTACTGTGTATCCCATCCCTCTGACAATTTTTCAAAGTCTTAATATAACAGATAAGAGAGCAGTAACTCAATTCACACAGAATATGGTTATATACAATGGTTTGTCATTTAAGTGACCACCTTTTTCTCTATTTCATATGGAAAACAAAATATATCTGAATGATAATATCACTATAAGATATGCTATTCTGAAAAAAACATTTGCATGATACTATTACCTGTGAAAGTCCAAAACACAGCAGGAAAAATGAACAACTTTCTGGGCATAAAGGGTGCTCCTGCCAGAGACATTACCCAGGGAGAATATTTGCTGGCATCTGTGGTTTGTGTGTGGATTTAATGCTGTATTGCATTACCTACCACATCTCTTGTCAAGCAGCAATACAAAGTAGGGGTGGAGCTAGACTACATTTGGCAGCTTAAAAAAAAATTAAAAACAGTGAAGGAAAAGGAAAAACTCCCCAAAATAAAAGCCTGCACAATGATCTGCAGAAACCTTAAGGCCCAGTAATCTTGGTTAATAAAGTAATAGCTACTTGGAAACAAAGGCTTTTGTCAGTTTTTGATGTGTTGTTTATAGTGCCACCTTCTTATGGCAATATCTTATATTTGTCTTAGGCAAATCATAGCTTCTTATCTGCCTCAGATGTACTTTAACTCCTTCCTTTATGTAAATGACATACATTGTTTCTGAACAGCCTCCCATATTAGCTATGCTTAACTATCATTCATGTTGTTAAATTATAAAGGCTCCTTTAATTGAATTATGCTGGAGCTGGAAACAACTGATTTGTATAAGGATTTGTTCTTTTAAAGTAATTAGGAACAGCTGCATTGGCTTGATTTAACTGTAAGAACCTTCATACCATAACACTGCAAAGTATCTAATTTCCCCGGTATGTGTGTATACAACAATTGTAATTAAAATGCTGCTAATAACAGTATGTTGAAATTCATCAAAAATGCGGAAGAGCAAACAAGTTAAACAAAAAAGTTAAACAGCATTTCTGCACTGCTGGCAGTTTTAGCCAGGATTTTCTTGTTTGACTCTTGTACCAAGAAGTTGTAACAGATAAATTTAAGGAGATCCAGTGAAGACAGAAAATACTAATTTGTGCTCTCTAGATTATTTTTAAGTACTCTAGAAATAACTTTATCCTTATTTTATGCTGTTTAAAAAGCAGTACATTGACAACCTTCCTTCCTGTTTTTCCTTTCTCTGCTTGCTGCTTGTCAAGATTTTGGAATGAGTTTAGGAAACGAAATAGGAAGAGAGCTAGATACAAAAGCATTTTATCATGTTTTTGGTGCTTTAATTTGAACACAACATATTAATTTGGACCATTAGCTCCTTCCCTAGTGTTGTAAGCATTCCAGTTATACTTTCAGAGTGGCTCATAGATGAAAAAAGTCCCATTTTTTATATAGCACAGAATGAAAAAATCTCAAATTTTGAGAGGTCCTGTTGTGACTCTTTTCTTTCACCCACAAGATTAAACAAGAAGTTTTGTAATGAAATGAAAGGTAGAAATTCTAATACAAGTAGAAAAAAAAGGTAACCTGCAATAATTGACTTGTAGAGCACAGTATCATTTGGTGTTGCAGCAACAGGTTTAAGCAAATTGAAATACATTAAAATGAACTTGAGTTATGGAAGTATATGGAAAAAATGTACAGCTGTATTCACATGCAACAGTTTTCTGAGTGAGAAGAAGAACAAAGAGTAGTCCAGTAGCTCGAGGATAATTAAGAAAGGCCAACTGATCTGCGTTTTTCACAATTTCCTGCTGTGTGATTTCTTACTCATCTGGCATTGGCCATGTTCAGACTATTCAAGTTGGCAACTGCCCTGACCTGGTGTAATGTGTCTGTGTTCCAGCATCTAATCTAAATTTTAGACAAAATTGCTGGCTTCCCTTTGTAAAGTAAGGAAGGAAAGACGAAAGTCACTGTCCTTACTGTGTCATAGTGAAAGGAATGAAGATAATGCTTCATTCTTCCTTGCAACATTTTCAGAAATTGCTTCTGGAGAATTCATATGTAGCAGTAGTTTTTGGTGTCTGCCTCATAAGTGAGAAAAACAAAAGAGCAAATTAATAGAAATATCAGCAATCAATGTATACAGATAATTATTGCTCCAAAAAAGTCTTTGATAAAGGTATAGGATACTTCAGAATAGCTATTCTGTGACATCTTTTATTTTGGATAAAGTTTGAAAGAGCTACTACAATTCATTTGTGATTTGCAGTGCCAAAATTATTGTTTTCTAAATGTGACTTAAACCTTCAAACTTCTGTAAGATACCTTCAAGTTAGCTACTTGAAAATTGAAACACTTGAGCTCACATATCAGTTTATATTTAAAAATCTTCCATCATGACATGCATGAACTAGAACTATGTCCCGTGGTAACAGAGTCTAGGAATGGTGTTAGAAAGGAATGCCACCTGAGTGTTTAATTGTTTTTACTTCCACGCACAATGTGGAAGAAATAGATCTTTAGAAGATAAGGCGTTACCTTGCCTAACACTGAACTGAGGTGATACCTGTAGGGAGATGGGAAGGAAAGGTGTGGGATCATCATGATGTGCTGCTTGGCATTTGTGATGAAAGAGTCTTTGCTGAAACCAAGCAGTCATTCTTTAAGTGTTCCTACAGTTGTTTCATTGTCTGCTAAAATGCCAAAAAAAAATTAATTCATGAGTCCCAAAATTTACTGCTGAACTCTCATGTCCTGTTTAGCTATTGAGACAATACTTGTATTGTCATGAGACAATACTTGTATTGTCTCTGCGTATGTCCTCTAATTTTAGAGTACTTGATTTAATTCCACAGAATATGGAGAAAGAAGTGTCAAATATAATTATGTTTCTAAAAATGTTATAAAAATATCCACTAGGAACAAGAACCTACAAGTTCTAACAAAAAAAAAGCTCTTTCAAAAATACCAATTACTGGAAAGATTCAGTTGGACTTTCATGGTCTCAGAATGCAAAGTCAGTCAGCTACAAGTCAAAATCAGTAAAGGAAATCAGGCTTCATCAGTTACAGATATTTAATATTAGTTCCAACTATAATTTAATAATACAGAGCTCAATACCTTATTTTTCAGCCATAGAATCCTTAATCATACTCTGATACCTAACATTGAAGAAATAACCTTTGAATCTAAAATAGGCATCGTCATCCAGTCGAGAAGTTTGCTATATATTTTCACAGACACTTAAGAAATTTGAGCTTTTATGTTTTGGTAATCACTACTTAATTTGTCTCATATTTTTTCTCAAAAGCCTGTTAATGATAGACTAGAGCAAGATATCTCTAAATTAGCAAAATAGATTTATTAATTTTAATTAATTTTCTTGTTGGACTAGTATTCATCTCTCTCTTCCCTTTCCTTTTAAAACTTATTAATACCCCATCAACAGTCATTCTATAAAGATTTTACTTTCCATTTCATTCTTTATTCCTCTCCCTTGGAAACAAATTCAATTGCTTGGTCCATGTAGATGTCTCATAAGTGCCTAATATTTTTTTTTCCTTTCCAAACTGAAATTGTGCTAATAGAACAAAGAGGCTGCAGTGCAGGTAACTAGTTCTCTGCAATCTGCTTTTGTGTTCGTTACTATATAATGAAGATCTGGTTAATAAGAGCTAGTGAACATTAAGCTATTAGAGAGCATCCAAAGGAGGGCAACGAAGATGGTGAAGGGCCTTGAGGGGAAGCCGTATGAGGAGTGGCTGGAGTCACTTGGTCTGTTCAGCCTGCAGAGAAGGAGACTGAGGGGACACCTCATTGTGGTCTTCAACATCCTCATGAGAGGAAGTGGAAGGGCAAATACTGATCTTTTCACTCTTGTGACCAGTGAGAGGACTCAAGGCAATTGCATGAAGCTGAGCCAGGGGAGGTTTTGGTTGGATATGAGGGAAAAGGTTTTTCACCCAGAGAGTGGTTGAGCACTGGAACAGCCTCCCCAGGGAAGTGGTCACAGTACCAAGCCTGCCTAAGTTCAAGAAACGTTTGGACAGGACTCTCAGGCACATGGTGTGATTCTTGGGGATGGTCCTGCGCGAGGCTAAGGGTTGGACTTGATGATCCTTATGGGTCCCTTCAAACTCTGTATATTCTATGATTCTGTGCTTGTGAGAGGTGGTGAATGACTGGCTTTACATCACTTTTTTTTTTTCGTTCACTTATTAAACTTGACTGAGAAGTTTTCTCACTTTTGCTTTTCTGATTCTCTCCACCATCCTTTGAGGAGGAGCAAGTGAGTGAGTGGCTGAGTGGGTACTTCACTGCTGTCTAGAATCAACCCTTCACAAATATGATTCATGCAACTGAATCTAATCATCTGCTTTATCTAATAATCTGATTAGATAAATAGGATTTCCTTTGTAACAAAGAATTGGCTCAGGTGTAGACACTGACGAGTCAGGCATCAAAGTTTAGGTGAGATGTGCCTCAGCCATTATATCTTTAGCATTGTGGGTAATAAACAGTTCATGTTCAACATGGTTAGAGACAGGTCTTACTGTTTTCTTTTCTGTAATTTATCCATTTACTTGTCACAACAATATGAGAATTATTTGTGGCTTTTTCATGTGACATGAACACTCCATAGTTATATGAGAAGAATACTTTGATCAAGCTGTGTCTGAGTTTTTCTTGATTTCCTTACATGATAATTTTAAGATGCATTATGATGCAGTCTTTCCACCTAGTTAAATTTCATAAAACTGTCACCATGTTTTTTTCTATAGCCT